ATCATAGCGGCAATTATGACACCCTAAACCCTAAACTCCTAAACCCCTAAACCCTTAACCCCTAAACCCTAACCCACTAAACGCCTAAACCCAAACCCCCTAAACCCCTAAACCTCTAAACCCTACACCCCTAAACCCCTAAACCCCTAAACCTCTAAACCCCTAAACCCCTAAACCCCTAAACCCTAAGCCCTTGTTTTGGGGATTCAGGCGTCAGGGCTTGGAGCACAGGGCTTGAGCTTCTTTTTGTTCGAACAGAGGTGCCGGTACTTAAAGGATCATGGGACTTGGTAAGTAGGGTTATAAAGGTAACTATACTTATAACCCCAATTAGGGGACTTATAACCTTCCTTACTAAGTCCCATGATCCTCCAAGTATGGGATCAGGTACCAGAAGTCCATCCTCATCATGGGTTTTTTCTGGCCCTTATTTGCATAAATGTAGATTTTGCCATGGACCCCCTGGGTTTTATCCAGGAAATTTTAGGTCCTTCTCACTCCCCTCTTTGTCGCTCGCTCTCTTTCTCTCTCTCTATCTTAGGGGTTTTTAGAAATACAAATTTGGCTACTACAAACCCCAAGAAGCAGCTAAAATTATAAGTTTTGCTAGGGGTCTAAGTTCAGTAGAGCTCTTTGTGTCTGGCGGGAAGACAGGTGTCGGTTACCCGCAGCTTTCCGCGGTTCTGGAGCGTCTTGCCATTCACCATTTTATTCGGTAAATTCTCAACTTAGGTGGGGGTTTCCGAAAATAGGGGACCCTCATATAGTACCCTAAATAATAGGATCCTTAATATAGGAACCCCAAAATAAGGTACCCCTAGTTATCGGAAACTCCAGGTTGGCGCTTGAACCCGTAAAGGGTCCATGCAACCATATGGGTAGTTGTCAAAATTATGGTCCCTTTAGGGGTACCCTAAAAAATAGGTGCCGTATTATAATGAGGACCCAACAAGGGACCATAATTTTGACAACCACCCATATAGTATATAGTTTGGCCCTCAAGCTATTACATTGGAACCCCCTTCAGGCAAGTACCAGTCCATGGATGTTTTGGAGGGACGAATCAAACTTTGTCCTGCTAGGTAGAGGTTTGAGCGGCTGCTGAAAATTGGTTTAGGGTTTAGGGCTCATGGGATTTCGTAGGTGTTCTTGAGTAGGTTTATTAGCTCAAGAAGAATCTACATGCTGCCTCCCCGCAGATCATCCAGCCCTACAAGCCCCAATCCCGAAACCCCGAAGTTTGAAGCTCTAAACCCTCTTGGCTGTAATTTGCGATTTCAAGCTTTAGTTGATGACTGCTTGATTTCGAGTTGCCCAGGGTGGAAAGTCCAAGTGCCGACATTTAAACCCTAAACCCTAAACC